TATTAGCAAAATGGTCAACATAATGGGAGATGTCTGGAGTCAAGGAATTTGGTGATAGTAACTGATGGGTGTGTGTGTGTGTGTGTGTGTGTGTGTGTGTGTGTTTGCGTGCATGTACATATGAAACTACTTATAGGTTTTAGGTTAAGGTCTTATATGATCGGATTTGCAAAGTCAGCTAAATTATTATTATATACTACAGTATGTATAAAATATATGTAAATATATGTGTGTGTATATATATATATATATTCCTTTAAATTTGATTTCTACTAAACATATGCCTAAATCATGACATTGTATATTACACAGATACCCTGAAAACTACTAGAAAAAATACAAGTTGACACTAATTTCATTTGTATTAGAGAAATTCTGAATTTTCAGCTATTCTCTGATTCTACTGGGGAAAAATAATTAACCAAGCATACAAATTTAGATAATGCAGAAGGTGCCTTCACCTTACTAGGCTCTCGATCCAGTCCTGTTTAAAAACATGAAAATACGTTGGCATGAGTTTTGACTGTTCTGCCAGCTCCTCCAGTCTTCCACTGCAGGGAACATGGCCCCACCCTCTGCCCTCTCTCAGAGGAGTTCACCCTGACATTGCTCCCAGTTGGCAGAAGTTGGCTTTCTTTGGAAAGGCCTTATAATCACAAAGAATGCCCTTTCTTTTTCTGTGAAAAGCCATTGAAGACATTACAGAAAAAGGAGGTTTTTTCTGACTTATGCTGGCCTGTTACAGAGACTAGCTCTGGGAAGCTCTGTGGGATGACCAGACTACATATCAATTAATATTTGCACTGCCATCTACTGTCCATAACAGGCACTGCAATTTCCCCTCCCTGATTTTGTTGTTAAATTCAATTGAAGACTGGTGAATGTATTTTTGTCTTTGTATTGGAAACATGGGAAAGGTGAAGAAATGAGGGAAATTTCTTTATATTACTAACAAATGTACAAATAATTTATCTTCTTTTACAATGGCTTTTGTCTTTAAACTACTGTTTAAAATAATTCATTCAATAAATACTTCAAATCCTCAGGAATCAGTTATCATGTCACTCATGGGAAGGAATGAGATAGACAGGATGCCTATCCTCACAGAACACACAGTTTAGTACAGGAGGGGCGGGATGGATGCTGTGTGGCAGGGGCGAGACTGTCGATGAGGTTGCCTGTGTCAGCTGAGAGAAAGCAATGTAGACTGTTATATTATAAGCAGAGGAGCTGAAAGATCAAAGGGGCCTTTAAATAATAAAAACAGCGAACATTTCTTGAGACCTTATTACATGGTGGTCACTTATTACATGAGGTAACATCTTTACACTTATTATCTTATTTAATTTTTACAATAATTTCATGAAGTAGGTAACCTTTACTTCTCCCATTTTATCTGTGAGCAAACTGAACCTTAAAGAGATCCAGAAATTTGTTCATTGTCATTCAGCTGATAAGATATGAATTTAGTAGCTCTCATGAAAAGCTCCAGAAAAAGTATGAAGGCAGCTCTCACTGACTGACTTGGGTCACAGGTCCATTCCTGAACCAATCAGTGAGGCCAAGGAGATGGAATGATTGCACAAATCTCAGCCACAGGGCCACTTCTGGAGCTAGTGTTGGGGGCAGCTCCTAATGTGGAACCATAAGAACTAAGAATCCTAGTGGTATTGTTCTCCAAAGGAAATTCAACTGCTAGTCCAGAAAAAGGGTAAATGGATTCTGGACAGGCAAACATGAAAGATGGCTATTACTCCTCCTGAATTTTATTTTTAAATAAATTTTTGTTTTATTTTTAAAACATTTACAACCAAAACTTTGCTGACAATTTTAGAAAATTTTAGCAAACAGCAAACTTGAGCTATGCAAGATCTTATTGACATTGTTACAAAGTTAAAACATAAAAAGCAGACCAGAAAGAAAGAGTAAAGCAGTAATCTTATGATTAGCTAGAGGCCCAGTGCACGAAATTCGTGCACTCAGTGGGGGGGGGGGGGCGTCCCTCAGCCAGGCCTACACCCTCTCACACTCCGGGAGCCCTCAGATAATGTCTGACTGATGGCTTAGGCCTGCAGGGAGTGGGCCTAACCAGCAGTCAGACATCCTTAATGCTGCCATGGAGGCAGGAGAGGCTCCTGCCACCACCGCTGTGCTCAGCAGTCATGAGCCTGACTTCAGGTTGAATGGAGCTCCCCCTGTGGGAGCGCACTGACCACCAGGGGGCAGCTCCTGCATTGAGCGTCTGTCCTTAGTGGTCAGTGCATGTCATAGCAACTGGCCGATTTGCATATTAGGCTTTTATTATATAGGATTACGAGGATTTTTTAGGTCATTTCACTACTACAACACATTTCACTTATGAACAACAAAGAATCAATAGCCCAGCCAGGTGTGGCTCAGTGGTTGAGCGTCAACTCAGGAACCAAGAGGTCACCGGTTTGATTCCTGGTCAGGGCATATGCCCAGGTTGCGGGCTCGATCTCCAGTAGGGGGTAAGCAGAAGGCAGCTGATCAATGATTCTCTCATCATTGATGTTTCTCTCTCTCTCCCTCTCCCTTCTTCTCTGAAATCAATAAAAATATATTTTAAAAAAGGATCAATGAATGAACCTGGAAGCTTGCTTTTTATTATAAATGTTGAGAAAGTTCCTTGAGAATTTGCTTGGCTTCCCTCAGGTCTTAGGCAGGTAATAGTTTTTTTTGGACATTGCCATAGAGGTTTTTCTAGGAGAAAATTTCCCAACTGGCGGTTCCCAAATTCCTTGGAGTTTTTAACATAGTATTTCCTTGTTTCAAATTTTAAAAAAACAAAACACTCCATTGGAAAATTAACTGTATCAAATGTTACACCTCTTAAAAGAGAACTATTAGAGACTCAGAGACTATACACATAAACAGTTCACAAACTCTTCAGTCTTAGGATCCCTTATGTTCTTAAAAAGTATTGAGAATGCAAAAATGCTTTCCTTAATATTTATCATATTAAACTTGAGAATGAAAAAATTATTCATTAAAAATAAAACCATTATATATTAACATAAATAACACCTTTCATAAAACTATATTTTTCAAAACTATAAGAAATGGTGAGCAGGTTGACATTGTTTTATATTTTTGCACATCTAATGTCTAATTCAGTGGAACATAGATTCTCATATCTGCTTTGGATTCAATCTGTTGTGATATGTTGCTTTTATTTAAATATATGAAGGAAATCTGGCCTCATACATATAGGTAGTTGAAAAGGAAGAAATATTTTAATAGGCATATCATATAATTGTAGGTGTTCTTTAATACTCTTCTAAAAGTCAACAAATAGCTTCATAGAAGTTAGTTACACATCAATAAACTCATCATGTTCTGTTACATTAAAATCTGTCGGTCTATCTTGAACTTTAAATGGACATTTACCCATACATGATTTATAACGTCATGCTTTTAGAAAATATTGGTTCACTAACTCATGCAACTCTTCCATATGTTGACACATTCTGTTATAAAAATCAATACAGCACACTTACTAATATCACCACTGATCTCATAAGAAACATCTTTTAAGTGTTAGGTTGTTGTCAAGCACACAATGGTGGGTGCAAGTTTCTCAAAATTTTAATTTTACTTAAAAGCTCAAATGTATCATTGTCAACAAATATTGTCAATTGTCTTCCTTAAAGCAATAGGCTACCTTTATTCTTTTCCCTCCCCCCCCAAGAAAATGATGATTCTCATTAAAAGCTAGAGCTTGAAGTTCCTTCCGCTGCTTCCCTATCACAGCTGTTTCTGCACTCATTTCTTCTGTAGACATGGGGTCCTGTCTCCCAGAGGGGCTCAAGGAATGCTTGTGGTTTGAAGAATGAGTGGTTGACTACCTAATGAAGAATTCAGGCTTAGCCCTTTCCCAGACTATAAGCTGATAGCCTCTAATGTGGGGTCTCTCCACATTAGATCTCCTCCCCACCTTAGTGAGAGTTATAAGTCCACTGACCAACAGAGAAAACACTCAGGTTTCTAATTTATAAATTGGGAGCATTTATAGCTAACTCTGTAATTCCAAAGAGTGTCTTTGGGATTAAAGACAATTTAAGTGTAGTTCAAACAGAAGCTGGACTATACCAGGCACTCCAAACTGACAGTTAATATAAAAGTTTGTAATGAAAACAGAGATGTCAATTTTTTATGCCCTCTTTTCTTCTCCTTCATCAAATATCCTCTGGTAGATCTGAAACTCAACAGTCTCTGTTTACTATAAATTCTGTTTCTTGGGTAAAGAGAACTCTTTCCATCCCCAAATTCTAATCTTCAAAGTCTCCTCTCAATTGTCTAGGCAGCTCATTTGTGCTTCTTAAATGGAGGAAGAGTTAGGGCAATGCTTTTAATTTTGAAAAATGCTATTGTTATGAAAGAGTGCAAAAGTCTTAGAACATGGTTATAAAATTTAAAACAAATTGAGATAAGTGAGAGAAATGTTACATTGAAGACATGATGGAAGTAGTCAACACAAGCACAATGACATAGACTTCAAAATCAGAAAGACAAAGAAACAATGAAAGAGCAGGAAGAAAGGAGGGGAGAAAGGGAGGATAAATTTTGGAGAGGGTGAAAGGGCATTTTAGGAGCTAGGAGCCCTATGGACCAAAGTGAAAATAAAGCAACAAAAATCGTCATGCCGCTTGCTTTTCCCCCTAATGAGGTGTTGTTGCTCCAGTCATCACTCTATATAAACTAACCATAATTGGGGTAAAATGTACAAGGGAATGAGGCCTTGGGCTTCACTTCGTGATTTGCTCTTCATGCTCAGGAGCTCAACTTCAAATCAAGCCTCTGTTTTAGAGTCAACTGTTAGGACACTGGTCACCTGCCAGTGATTAGCAAACATCGGAAGGAAGTATTTGGTGCATTGAAAGAATCCTTAGCAACACAAAACGGGAGTCTGCAAGCACTGTCATCACTGCCCACGCTGCCCTACTAACAGTTGGTCTTTTTTTCCCCTTTGTCCACAGAACCGAAAGTAAGCTGCAAACTAGGCCGGTCTGCGTCCACATCAGGTGTGCCCCCTCCGTCAGTGACTCCTCTCAGGCAAGCCAGTGACCTGCAACAGAGCCAGGTACCATCATCGTTAGCCAATCGTGATTGACTTCCTGTGGTGCAACATGCCAAACGCTTCCACCTCTGTCTGTCCTGTGTTGCTGTAGACGACGTTTGCATTGCTTTTATTTTTCTCTGTGTGGATGGGTCCGGGGGGAGGAGTGTGGCAGTCTGTGTTCTCATCCGAACAAGAGTCTCTCTTCCCTGCGCTGGGTGAAACTCCCTTTGCTGTTACCAAATCGTTTGTGTCTCTGGTTTCCATCGTTCTGTAACATAAATGTAGTAAACCTGTACTATCTGTATTGGCTTAGTGGTTCTTTTAAAAAATTCTTTCTCTCTTCCATATTTTGTGTACTTTTATACTGTCTCTGGAAATTTATCAACATTTGATAAATTTATCTACTTTGTTTTATGTAGATTTCCTTTTGAATGTTTTGTCTATGACACTTTCACAGATGTTGTTAATGAATTTGTACATATCTTTTAGCACTTATCCTATTATACTGTAATATTTGTGGCCATTTTGCTTTTATTTTTATTTAGCTTGGAGCATGATTGTATGACACTGTGACTATTGATGTCCTTATGAATATTCATATACCAACTGATTTGGACTGAACATGGCAGCTAGTCTTCTTTCGTAGGCCATAAAGACAAATTGACTGACCAGATATTCTAGGTATTTACCAAAACCTATAGATTAATAAGGCAATCTTTAAATAAATGACATTTTTCTCTTATACCAATAATATCAGAAATGTTCTCAGAAAGGGATATAAGTATTCATGCATGGTAAATGAGATCTCTATTATCACCTGAGGAAAAGAGACAAAAAATAAAGACATGAGCTGAAATATCATTTAATCCTTCACAATACAATATGTTGCTCTGATATTCATTTGGGTATATCATTGTGTATGGGGAATTTATTATGGGGAAAAATTACTACATGTTGCTATCTGTAACTCATGTCATAGGAATTCAAATAACTTGAGTTAATTTTTTGACCTTTAGTTGTTATTGGTCCTAAATAGGATATTGTCACCCTGAGTGGTATCTCTCTGCTCCCCAGATTTTATCTTCGAATTCATAAAACTATCCTGAAATAGTAAATTATAAAACTAGGGAGAATACCTCTATGGGAACTGTCCATTAATGAGGATCAAATTGCATATTCATCAATTATTTAAAATGTCAAGCTATTTTTAAAACATAAGCAAAATATTTGCATTTTTTTCTAATGGGAGAAATGGAGCTTTTTAGTAATTTGGTCTGGCTTAAATGTGCACAGGATTTGGTTTATGAATATATGAGACATCTACCAACACGGAGACAAGAAGCTTCTCTCAGGGGCATCTCAAGTATCACCTACAATTCCTTGCATCTTAATTTAAAATGTTAAATGTCTTCATAACTAAATGTTTCTGACTCAAACATTTGTTGGGTATAAAAGAAGTAGAAACAATAAGACAATCTATATATATACAAAAGCCCAGTGACTAGAGGGCAGAATGACCAGAATGACCAGAATGACCAGGACAACTGGTGGCTATGACATGCACTGCAACAGCCAACCAGCCTGATCTGGCCCCTGATCAGTCCTCAACACCATGATCAGGGGCAGGGCCGGCCGACCAACCACCCACGGCCCCTCCCCTCAGCCAGCCTGGCCTGATGGGCCCCCATTGGGGCAGGCTGGCTGGATTCCATCCATGCACAAATTCGTGCCCCAGGCCTCTAGTGAATCAATAAACAAATAGCACAATTAACTTCACTAAGATAAACTACCAACTTAGTTGACTAAAAATATTCTAAGAATATCATATTTACCAATTTTTAGTGTTTAAAAAATTGAATTACAGAAAGGATAGAACTTTTACTAGCTGGCAGAGGATTGCATTATACAAGTAATTGTCCAAGTATGTGTACCTCTCATTACCCTTGGTGTCATAGAGAGGTTTTATGTTCTTTTATCTTTTTCTAATTATCTGTGCCCCTTTAACTCTCAATGAAAGCAGGCTGCAAAGGCTTAAACTTCCAGAACAGAAAAAAGATACAATCTTTGTGCCTCTACATTATCAACTCTTCCCTTGCCTGGTGGAATGTTCTTCATTCTTTAACTTATAGCAACATGGGAAAACTTCTCACATTGCTTGTAAGCGGTGATTTTCCTCCCTGAACAGCAGAAATGCTGGCCCACAGTCATACTGTAGACAGGCTGTCAGGGCTCTGAAGTAGCAGACTGGACTCTGAGTCTCTCTTCTGTGGCTTGTGAGGGTTGCACTATTCACCTAGCCCTATGTCCTGGAGCTAAAGGGGTCAGCATGGCCAGAAGAACCTTGCTCTGCATTCCCATGACTTCTCATTGAACTAAGGTCAATGGCGACTTACTGATGAACCTCTTCTCACCCAACTCATGCTTTTATCTGAGATGTCTCTTTAAATCACCACCAGGGTGGCACCGCCCTTTCCTCAGTAACCCAAGGCAATGGTGAAAGATATGTAAACATGTTGATTCTAAGAGTGACTATTCCTACACCAACCAGAATATGGGACACCTAGTGTTATCAAACAAGCAAGCAATCACCCTTGTCACTTTTTAAGCAGGTTTTCCAATGCCAGGATTCCCAGTAAATATTAAAACTCAGGATGCTTACTATCAGGTTAATAGACTTATTACTAGTTAATTATTGGAAAACTCCATGACCTGTTGAAAGCAAAAGCCATCGCTGACCCCTAAATAATTCCAGTGGTGCTAATGAAGCATCGGGCTTTAGGGAAGCCGAGCCATTTGGCCACATTATGACTGATTACAGAGAAGGGACTGTGTTTCCTTTCAGATTGTTCACCTCTTATCTCTTTTCAGTTCAAGTTTTTCACTTATCTCTCCTTGCTAAGAAGCTTTGCAGGAGGAATAAGCAGAAGTGCCTGACATGCTCCAGCAGAGGTGCACAGGTGGCCAAAGGCAACTGACGCTCACCCCAGGCGCCCAGGCCAATAATCGCTGCCCTCCCCAAAGAACCTAGAGGCAGTTGTTACTGACTGACCAAGGGTGGGGGAGGGCAGGGGGGCGGGGTGCTGGGATTCATAGTCTCAGGCCATAGCCATTTGTGTATAAACAAAGGTGAAGGTAACGTTTGCTAACCTTTGCAATCTGTTCTGGCTTCTGGTCACTACAGCAGACACAAAATTTGTAGAAATCTGTAATGTCATCTGACCAGAACTTCACAATCTGTAAGAGAAAATGAGCAGCTCAGGAAAGAAGTACAAGTTCTAACGCAATTAGAGATTGCTCCACAACCTGCAGCACTCTCTGAAACTCAGAGAGATGGAAGTAGATTTTTCTCTCTATTCCTTCACATCTGAACAAATAACAGAGACACAGGCAATTAGGGGAAAGTGACATTTCCTTGGAATTTTACTGCAATGCAGCTGCCTATTTGGGTATTTGTTATAATGCAGGTCTTTGGAAATTAGACTGAATTTCTGGGCCTGATGCAAGAAAGCTATTTGCTTTTCTTGGTTATAGAAACAACACTGTATAGAAGTCATGTATTGAACTTGAAGCACGTCACTTTCTCCTTTTTTTCTTCTGTAGTAAAGAAAGAGGTGTGTGTGCTTTTATAGATAGCAGGTGATGGTCCCGTGATTCCGCTATCTCTGGCTGAGAAAAGCCTACCTCTACAGTGACTCCCATCCCAGTGGGGGTGGCACCATCTATGGTCTCCCTGCAGCAGGTGAGGGACTGGCAGCTAATGCATTCGGCCTTATGAAAGCCAAGCTTTCCTTCAAGAATGGAGCAGCCAGGGTGTATGTCTAAACAGAAGTGCTAGCTCTCCGGGAGAAATGTTTCCAGGAATTGTTTGCATTGGCTTTTCTGGGAAGGAAGGAGATGAGAGCCACATCATCTGACATGTGCACACACCTCCCCACATACACACACTCACAATACACTTATGGACACTCATATACACAACTCTCACTTACACACTCACGCACAAACACTTTACCTTTTTAAATAACAGCTCCCCATGTCCAATCAAGGAACCACAGAGCTGAAAGTGACCTAGTCTTGAACTGAAACCCCTTCATTTGCTCCCTGAGGCTTGCTTATCGTTCTAAACTGGTCATCTTTAATTTGGGGGAGAGGGTTGAAAAGGCCATCTGTAATTTCCTTTGGACTTACAATTCCAAGTCTGACAGACCCAAATCTCTTTAGAAATCTAAAACTTGCCATTATCTCTTATTCTGGTTGCCTTAAGTGTTGTGAGAGCAGTCTCTACACCCCCCCCCCTCCCCAGGACAGGCCTCACCCGGGCTGGTCCCCTCGGGGTACTGAGAAGCTGTTATCCAGGTGAACAAGCCCAGCTCCTTCCAACCCGCCCTTTAGGATTATTTCTCAAACGCTGATTTCTTTCGATGGCAGCTCTCTAAACTCTCTCCAAGCTCCGAACACCCCCCTGAGCTTGATGACCCCTCTGGGGTGTAACCCCACCTGCCTGGGCTGCCTGCAGAGCAGAATTAAATTCTGTCTTCCTGCAGGCCCCGTAGCTCCGTCCACACACCAGCATCAGGCCAGCTCTCCCGGATAATGAGAGAACACACGAGAGTGTCTGTAGCTGAACACGTGTCCAGAGTGTGTTTCTGGATGTGATGTGAAAATTGTTTCCTAGATACATTTTTAAAAAGGAAGATAAATCATCCAAAAAATAGGGATTAAGGATCAGTTCACGTGAAAGACTAAGAGTTAGAACTTAGGTGGATTCTGTGACGAGGACTGGGCCCAGCATACAGGTGCAGGTCTAATGCCCAGACAGTGTACGACATTCGTGTTCTTTTGCTGATTTACTAGATAACTCTCTCGGTAGATGTCTCTCTCTTTACGCCTGAAAAAGTGTTTTCCTTACACAGTCTGACTTTGCCACCTTAGTTCTTAATCTCTCTAGAACAGTGAGATGCTTTGATTGATCAGTCACACTGCCTGGAAGCTTTGAGAAGACTACTAAGACCACTGAGGTGTGAGTTCTGGGCTTTCATTTCCCAGATAGC